GGTGGGGCCGGTGCCCTTCGTAGCAGTGCAGCAGTCGACCGATCCAATGGTTCCGCATGGTCGCAACTACTATCAGAGTGGCATCTTCCTCAAGGTACGACACCCTCCAGCCGTTGGCCAAGTATCACGATTAATATCAAGTCACCTCTATCTTGTTAGGATCTGAACGAAGAGGTGATCAGCATCATTGGGAAGCACTACCAAGCAGTCCCTTCTCCCATGTCAGTGGTCATGATTGAGACTGAGGTACATTTCCTTCTTCCGTGTATGGGACTGCCTTGCTTTTCTTATCTTTTATGGTTCTTCTCATCACCAGGGAGGCAAGATCGCCGAGCTTCCTGAAGACGAGTGTGCTGTGTCTTGGCGGCAGACCCGGTTCTGCGTCAACGTTGTTGCTGCATGGGAAAAGGTGTGCGCACTCAGCGTGGCTATGTGGATTCTCGCTGCGTGGTCCCTAATCACTACTGGACATCCCTTTCCCTCTCTATTACCAGGAGGACCAAGAAGACCAATGCAAGGCATGGGTCCGTGCCTGGCTGCTGAGCTGAAGCCCTACAAAACCGACTCCACCTACATCAACATGTTCAACGTGCCTCAGGAGGAGAAAGATAAGATCCCCATTGCTGAGTTCTTTGGGACACATGCGGCCAGAGTGAAGGAGATCAAGCTCAAGTGGGACCCCAAGAATGTGTTCCAAGCTCAGACCAACATCCTCAAGATGGCCTGATTCCATTTGGCCAGGTGGGGTCCTTGACTTATACAAAATTCATTTTATCTGCCTTGACCAACCAAGGGGTCAGCTGACCATGATGTAGTGTGACTGGCTGTACTGGAGCAAGCCCAGATCAACCTGCAGGCCCCATGACATTTGATATGCTGGCCTTGACCACCTGAGCCATATTTGCGCCCAGCGCCGCCTGCACGCCCTCGCACGACGCGATGGCCTCCTGCAGCCGTGCCCACACCGCCCTTCGATCGCCGTCGCCGTCGCCGTCCATCTTGCCGAAAAACAAAAACAAAAAGGACCGCCTGTCAGTCCGATCCATGGCGTAAATAAACCCTCCCGATGCGGAACGTCTCATTAGTGGTGTACATAAACACACTGGTAACGATTAGGGACGGCAAAGCAGAGGACAAGATATATGTGTATTTTTATTGCATGCTTTTCAATGCCAAAGGGCAGCTGCAGTACCCTCTGCAATACAATTAGTCTCACCTCTCCCGATTGCTTTGCTCGCGCACGCGCCCACATCATCCTCTGCGGCCCCTCTCCCTCCTGCCCGCGCCCTCGCCCTCTACCTCTCTTGTGCCTCGCCCTCGCCCTCTACCTCAATCTCTCGTGCCCTAGCGCAGACAAGGCGCACTGCTGCCCCACTCGCCCTCGCCCTCAACTACTCCATCGTCAAGCAGCACTGGATCGGCCTCAGACAGGTCAATGCGAGTGCTGTGTCGGACCCACGCCATCGATGACTGCAGAACCGCGAGCGACAAATCAAGGAGTTGGACCCATCCCGGCCACCCGCCTACGCCCGATCCGAGGAGACAGCATCGCGCCGTCGCCGAGGGACGACGTGGGGGAGATAGTGCGGGGGGGGGCACCAGTGGAGAGGACAACGTTGCAGGGGGTGATATACTCACGGGAGATCTGGCACGCGCGCCTGCACATCGATGTGCAGGCGCACGAAGAGTGCGAACGGCAATACGGCACCGGTCGTCACAATCGGGCCATGGAGTTCTCCGTGATCCATGCGTGCATGGACTGACATGCGGAAAACACCACCGATTGTTGGTCGGCGTTATCCACGCGACGACGACGACGACGATGACGATGACGATGACGACGACGACGCCGTCACCGTCATCACCCTTTGTTGGTCCTCCCCCACATAGCCCGACGACGCCACCCAGACCGGAACACGATGCCCGTTTGCCAGACACACCATGTCCTTAGTCCAACTCGGCCTGCGCGAACAACTCCAGCGGACGCCCACCCACGATGCCACGCGGCCCGGCCACCACCACGCACGCACTCGCGTCATCGGCCCATAATCGTCCTCCTGGCGGATGTGTGACCCCTTCGCGTCACTGCTCCTGGTGGTGTCTGTCACTCACTGTCTCGCACAAAATCGAAACACACCCACCGATTGCCCACGCGACGGAAAACGAAAACGGAACGAGGCCCCAATTGTATGCCACCCGCGCACTATCCACGCGGCACGTCATCGCCATCGCCGCCGACGCCACCACAAATTTGAAAACAAAAAACACACCACGCGACCCCCAGTACGCACTATCCACTCGGCACGTCATCCACCCACCAAGAACGGAATGCGCCACCGTCCTCATCACCACCGTCACACCCATCATCGGACCTTAGTGAGTTGTTTCTTTGATCACAGCGGTCGGCCCTGATCCACGGCCGTTGACATCGCCAAAAATTTGACAACAAAAACAAAAACACGATCCGTGGCACAAAAATTGAAAGAGGGAACACACACACACACACATTTTCCAAATTAAAAGTGTTGTTGTTAGATTGCCAACTTTCTCATACCATGGGCCAACACATGACACACACAGCCTGAGAGTGGGTGGGAGTGTGAGCGTACATTTGTTGTGTTCCTTGAGGCACTGTAGGCACAGAGAGAACCCACTGCTGAGTGGTCTGGCAACAAGGCCAGCTGCTGCCATCTCCTCTGCCCACTTGTCATTGTTGGCAGTGCACTGATGGAGGTGTGGGGTGGTGGTCTCTGTTGGATGTTCACCATCTCAACTATTCTCTCTATATTTCTCTTATCTATTTCTCCTTTCTTATTCTTTTCTACCTTTCCATATCTCCCTCTCACCTGTAACACTTGTGATCTCCATCAATACACTTATGTGGTGTACGTGCCCAATGCATCACACACTCTGATATCGCCACAGCAGCTGCTCAACACCAGGTGCCATGTTGTCTTTGACCAGCTCCATGGATTCCAATTCTTCTTGGATGACCAGCTGTGACTCCTCAGCTACCAGAGCAGAAATCTGTTTCACTTCAACATCACCTTCGTCCCTGCCCCTGCTGATGCTGGTCTGCTCGCTGCGCTGTCTGCATTCTCTCCACAGCTGTGTGTCAATCTCATCCACTGCTGCCTCAGTCATGTCAGTGAGGAACACTGCCATGAGTACATTCACCAGTCCACTGACCTCAGCAACTGAGAAAAGTGCAAGGTCCTCTCTTCCTCCCTCACACCACTCTGCAGCATATGTCTCTCCAGCATGG